CTGCGACAGCTGTTCCCACCTGTTCCAATCCAAGTCTCCAGTTCTGAGCCTGCCATCCAGTCACATCCAAACCTTGCAATCCCCCCCCACTTCCACCACACCCCTGACTGGAGTTACAAGGGAGGTGGATTCCCCAAAAAACTTCTGTGAGTGCTGGATTTTCCCTCAGGCAGCACCAGCAGGGCTCAAGTTGTAGCAGGAGGCTGTGGGAACTTGAATTGCTCCTTCCGTGGCGTGCCCTGGTTATTCCTTCTTTTTAAATTTGGAGATTTCTATCCAAGGGATTGTTCTGGACAGCTATGTGGGCCATGGATGCCAAATAATAAGGAATCATAATGGGAAAAATGTAGGTTGTAGGGAGAAGTAGTGAAAGAGAAGAAAATTGAAGGAATCCCTTTGACGACCTCAAATGCTAGAAAATAACAAAGGGATTTAAATAGGAAAATATTCAAAAGCCTTGGGGATTTTCTTCCTTTTTTGAATTTTCATTCAAATACAGCTTGGAGGAAGAAGGGGAGATAATCCCCCCCTCCTTGCTCCTTTCCCAACAAGCTGAGAGGAGGGTGTTCCCATCCGCACAGGCTTGTTGATACAGGGTTCAACTCGCTGCATTCCCAAAAATCTCCCCTGCTCTCTCCACCCAGGCAGGGTGAAATGTAGCAAATGGTATTTCAGCAGCACAGGGAGAGCTGGTGCCTTGATTTATGTGTCTGCTCCTTGGGATAGCTCACCAGCAATATTAAAAGCAAGATTTTGGACAACTTTCAGGATTAAAAATTAACTGGAGTTTTTCCAACCTCTTTTTATTAGGCAATGTCTCTCCCAAGGCTGCTAAGCTAATACCAAATTGTCAGATTGCCCAAAATTTCAAATATCTCAGAGTAGGGGTTTCAGAGATCTGTGCAGAGTTACTTAGTGAAAAATGCAGCCTTTATGTTACAGGGATTTTCAAAATGTTAGATCTACAGGATATGGGAGGGAGAATGCAACGAGGAAGACACTTTTCCTGAGATAGGAGGGAATATTTTGAGAGAACCTGAACCCAGTCAGGTGTGCTGCAGGTGTGTAAACATCACCTGGTTTGAAAATCCTGTTGGGATCCCTGAGCATTCCTGCAAGTGCTGAAGCAAGCAAGAGGTGAAATCCCATCCATGAACAGTAAATCCACACGTGGCTATGGAATGGGGATCCATATTGCTGGAAATATTTAGGGTTCTGATGCCAGGGTGTATAAATGGCATTCCTGATAATTTGGGATCATGCTGTGGTGGGATCCACTGCTGCCTGCAGCGGGACTGAGGGTAGCAAGGATGAGAGGTCCTTTTGCCAGGCTAAAACTGGGGAAAAGAAAGCTGCCAAATAACCCCCATCCTTCAGATGCATGCCTGACCCTGCTAAAAGCAGAATTGGGGGGTTTGCTTTGAATTGAGGCCTTCCACTGAGAATTTTGATGGTAATAATGGGGGAAGAAAGGAATGGAATGGAGGGAGATCTGCTGTCTGCTCAGGAGGCAGCAGCCTTTAAACAGCCCTGTGGAAGTCCCAGAGCAGCACAGATAACTGTCCAAATGCTTGTGTAATCTGATTTTAAAGGGGAAAATACGCTTTGTGCCGTTTGCAGCTCTTAGAGGAGTCTCTCAGCCCTTGTTCTGGCTGTGCTTAGCTGGAATGAGACTCTTGCCATGCTCAGAACTGCAGGATTTGGGGAAATATTTGTCAGATGGGGAGCAGTCCCCGCTGGTTTCAGCAAGAACTGTGCCTGCTTTGAGGTAGGATTTGTCCCCAGTTATTTTCCTTAGTTTTATGTGAGCTCCTGAAAGCAATATCTAGGAAAAACCTGGTTCTCTGAGTGCTCAGTTTGCAATGTGGGGAGAGAAACTGGTGGGTGAAGGAACCTTTTCTCCCTCTGTGGGTAGAACAGACAGTGCTTTGGATTAAAACCAGCTACTCCTTAGGGATTGTGCTGTTTTCCTCCTTCTTAAAACTGCATGAGAGGTACATGGAATTACTGTCTGAGGGAATCCCCAGTAGATTCCAGCCCCTCCAGCTCCTTTGGGAGCAGGGGTTTGTCACGGATATTTCGCTGTGGAGTGCAGGTTCCTGTTTCTGTTTCCCTGCTGTTTGGAATTGAGCGCCTGTGTTGCTTTTTTGGCCCGTTTTTGTCCTGGTAGGGAAAGTTATTTCAGCCTCCCTCTTCAGTGGAGTCATCTGGAAACATCCCTGCTCCCCAGGCAGCTCATTAGCATCCAGCATTACGTGGTGCTGGCTCGGGGCTGAGCCATCCCTGGTGCCAAGGCACAAGAGGAGAGAAAATACAGCTAAAAGTTCCTGGGTCGAGATAAGGAATGGGAGAGATAAGAAGTAGGGGAGATAAGGAAGGGGAGAGATCACTCACTAAATACTGTCATGGGCAAAACAGACTCAACTCAGGGGTATCAGTTTAATTTATCCCTAACAAAAAACAGAGCAGGGTCATGAGAAGTGGAATCAATCTTATAAAACACCTTCCCCCACCCTGTCCCTCCTTCTCAAGGGGGAAGCTTCTGAAAATATCACCCCTGTACCTTCCCACCACCTAAACCTGGCCATGCAAACCCAATCCACCAGGAGGGCGAGGATGTTGCTGCTCCTCCTCTCTCCAAATCCTGGGCTGTTGTGGGGAGGGAAACATCTTTGCTTCTGGCATATCACACTGTTGTCCCCACGCAGAAGTGCTGCCAGGCCCATCTGAGGGTAGGGATCACAGAATCTCAGAATAATGAGGTTGGAGGAGACCTCTAAGATCATCGAGTCCAACCTATGCCCTAACACTTCAACCAGACCATAGCACCAAGTGCCATGTCCAGGCTTTTTTAAAACACATCCAGAGATGGTGATTCCACCACCTCCCTGGGAAGAGCATTCCAGCACTTTATTATTCTTTGGGTGAAAAATTTTTTCCTAATATCCAACCTGTCCCTTCCATGACGTAGCTTGAGGCTGTATCCTCTGGTTGTGTCAGTGCTGCCCTGTGGGAGAGACCAACCCCACCTGTCTGCAGCCTCCCTTCAGGAAGGTGTAGAGAGCAATGAGGTCACCTCTGAGCCTCCTCTTCTCCAGCCTAAACAGCCCCAGCTCCTTCAAACATTCCTCACAGGGTTTGTGTTCCCAGCCCCTCACCAGCCTCGTTGCCCTGCTCTGGATGTGCTCAAGCATCTCGATATCCTTCCCAAACTGAGGGGCCAGAGCTGGACACGGCCCTTGAGGTGTGCCCTCACCAGTGCTGAGTACAGGGGAGGAATGACCTCCCTGCTCCTGCCGGCCACACAAAATCAGAGCAGGGTAATGAGAAATGGAATCAATCTTCAAAACCACCTTCCCTCCTTCTCAAGGGGGAAGCTGTGACGGTGTTCACAGGGGTCTCAGGTTGAGGGAAGAGATGAGGATCTGACTCCGTGTTTCAGAAGGCTTGATTTAAAATTTTATGATATATATTACATTAAAACTATACTAAAAGAATAGAAGAAAGGTTATCCTCAGAAGGCCGGCTAAGAATAGAATAGAAAGAAGGATAACAAAGGTTTGTGGCTCGGCTGTCTGTCTGAGTCAGCTGGCTGTGATTGGCCATTAATTAAAAACAAACCAACATGGGCCAATCACAGACCCACCTGTTGCATTCCACAGCAGCAGATAATCAATGTTTACATTTTCTTCCTGAGGCCTCTCAGCTTCTCAGGAGGAAAGATCCTAAGGAAAGCATTTTTCATAAAAGATGTCTGCGACAGGAAGCTTCTGAAAATACCATCCCTGTACCCTCCCACCACCAAAACCTGGCCATGCAGTCCCAGACAATCCACCAGGAGGGCAAGGAGCTGTTGGCCTTCTTGGCCAGGACACATTGTCGCAGACATCTTTTCATGTAAAGTCCTTCCCTTAGGATTTTTTGTTCCTGAGAAGCTGAGAGGACTCAGGGACAAAATGTAAACAATGGTTATCTGCTGGTATGGAATGCAACGGTTAGATTTTTGATTAGCCCATCTTGGATGTTTATAATTAATGGCCAATCAAGGCCCAGCTGTCTCAAGAGTCCGAGACAGCTGCCTTTTGTTATCATTCTTTTTTTTTCTATTCTTAGCTAGCTAGCCTTCTGAGAACCTTTTTTTTATTCTTTTAGTATAGTTTTAATGTAATATATATCATAAAATAATAAATCAAGCCTTCTGAAACATGGAGTCAGATCCTCATCTCTTCCCTCATCCTGAGGCCCCTGTGACCACCATCACAGCACATTGCTGGCTCATATTCAACCAGCTGTCAACCAGCACCCCCAGGTCCCTTTCCAAAAGGGATGGGCAGGTTCCAGAGGTTCTCTCTCCGTGTCCTTCAGCCTCATCCCTTTCCATTCCCAACCTTCTCTCCCTGGCGCAGGTACGGCGCCGACGTGGACGTGAACCACCAGCCGGCGTCGCGCGGGCCGGGGCAGGCGCTGCGGCCGCTGACCACGCTGGTGGTGTGTCCCCTGTACATCAGCGCTGCCTACCACAACCTGCCCTGCTTCCGCCTGCTGCTCCAGGCGGGAGCCGACCCCGATTTCAACTGCTGCGGGCCCATCAACGTGCAGGGCTTCTCGCGGGGCTCGCCCGTGTGCGTGCTGGACGCCGTGCTGCGGCACGGCTGCGAGCCCGCCTTCGTGCGCCTGCTCGTCGACTTCGGCGCCGATCTCAACCTCGTCAAGGTGGAGGCCCTGGGGCTCGAGGCCACGGGCAGGGTCAAGGTGAACGCCGAGGCGCTGGAGGTGTTCAAAGAGGCGAGGGGTGAGTGGGGTTGGGGCTCCCAGAGCGGTGGTGTGGGTGTGGGAGAGCACTTTGGAGGGGTTGTTTGAGTTGTGTTGGTGTCCTCACTTCAAGTCCTCACTTCCCCCACTTCAGTGGGGTCTAACAACCTGACAAACAAAGCATTAATGACTTCTCCTCTCCCTCCTTTTCCCCTGTTGCATTTTGTACCTTTTTTCCTTATTTTCCCTTCTTGAGTCCTCCAGCAGCCCAACCTCTGTTACTCTGCCTCCCAGTTCTCTTGCATTGCCTTTCCCTATCTGGGCTGGGTTTTGGAGCTGTGGATCACCAGCTCTCCAGAGCCACACAGGTGTGTCCCAGGTGTTCCTGTGTGACCTTGGGCTCTGGATCCAGGAGGGAGTTTGATCTGGACAGACTGGTTGGGAAGGAAAGCCACAAACAGTGGTAAAAAGGGGCAGGAGGAAGCTCAGATGGAGATGAAGTGCAGCACCTTGGAAACCCACCTGGTGAAGGCCACAGCTTGACACCAGGGGTGCAAGTGGGGTTTCCCTCTTGAACTCCAGAGAAATTTCAAAGGGATTCAGGCTGTGGGATACAATTTACATCCCCAGGTTACTCAGCTTTGCATGGGCCTGGTTTTCTAGCCTGTCTGGGATTCTGAGGAGGGAGGCTCACACAAGCTGGAGTTCCATTAGGCCTGTGTTTAGGAGGCAAATGGGGCTCCTCAGGTGGAGCATATGGGATAATGGAGTGATGCCATGGAGGTCCAGTTCCTAAATCAACATGGGCACCACCATGTTGATTCAGGAGCATGTTGATTCATACCATTGCTGTGCTGAAAGAGCTCTCCATGGACTCAAAGGAAGCCCTCAGAAGAAAGTTGGGATGAGGCCTGAGCTGGCCGTCAGTGCTGTTGACATAATTTTAAAATGATCCAAATAGAACGGTGGAGTTGGAAGGGATCCACAGGGATCATCCAGCCCAACCGCTGGCCCTGCACAGACCCCCCAACAATCCCACCCTGAGAGTGTTGTCCAAACCCTCCTGGAGCTATTGGGGCTGTGCCCATTCCCTGGAGAGCCTGATCAGTGCCAAGCTCCCTCTGGGGGCAGAACCTTTTCCTAAAATCCAACCTAAACCCCACTGGCACAGCTCCAGCTGCTCCCTCAGGTTTTGCTGTGATGGCCTCCGTGGTCTCCAGCCCTTCCAGCCTGCCCATGCAGTTGGAAATTGCTCCAAACCCAGGAGGTTTGACCTCCTCACAGGGCAGGATTTGTGCTCACTCAGCTCTCCCTCCCTGCCTCTGTGTTGCTGCTCTCCCTCCCTGTTTCCCCAGTAATGCTTCCCTGTGTTTTTCCTTGCAGGCCGCGCCCGGAGCCTCTTGTCCCTGTGCCGCATAGCAGTGCGGAGAATCCTTGGCAAATCCCGCCTGGATCTGATCCACAGCCTTCCCATCCCAGACCCCATTAAACAATTTTTACTCCATGAAAACAGTTAAGGGGCAGCTGGCTGCTTTTGGGGACAGTGTGACTTGGTAAATGAGTGCCCTGACAGAGCCAGGTGCCATTCCTGCCTCTTTTTCCTTCGTGGAGTGCACATAATTCCCTGCTCCTGTGGATTGTTTTTTCTCCTCCAGATTTAGGGTGCAGTGATTCAGTGTCTTATCTCCTTGGGGAGAGGCTGCTAAACGTGTGTGGGTGTTGCTGGAGCAAATACAATATATCCTGTAGCTGTTGGCAAATGTGTAACCTCTGTTACTGATCTGTGTCACACACACACACACACACACACACACACACACACACACACACACACGCCTGGGGTCTCTGTGGCATTTCTGTGTGGGGAAAGTGTCCTTACTTTACTCTTTTTCCCATCAAACCACAAGTTCCTACCTACATTTTAATCCATATCCCATGGTAAGAGCAGAGAAAACCCAACCAGATCCACGTAATGGGTCTGGTTTTTTTTGCATCGTGGAAAAGGGAGAAAAAAGGGGTTTTTTTGAGGAGGTGGGAGGTTTTGTGCTTCTAATCACAGTGTTGCATCCAGCAGCCTGGGCTCCTTTGACTTCCAGTGCCTCTTCATGCCACAAACTCCCAGAAGAGTCAATTCTGCAGGGATTCAGCAGCCTTTTGTTGGGATCTCAGGGTCAGCCAGTGATGTGCTCAGTGCAGAGGAATCCTTGTCAAAACAGCAACTCTAGAAGGATAGAGATGATGATGCCTTAGGATCTTGGGAAAAATCTCAGGTGATAATTGGTACTTGCTTTAACTTTTCTGATTCAAGTAAAGTCACTGTGTTATAAGTTAATATTTTTTTTGGATGATTTTTCTTTGCTAGCTCTTCTCCCCACGCTCATCCAGCTGGCAAAGGTAATTTTCCACATGTGACCTTAAAGATCAGAGAATCCCAGCTTGGTTTGGGTTGGAAGGGACCTTAAAGCTCACCTAGGTCATGGGCAGGGACACCTTCCACTATCCTGGGTTGCTCCAAGCCCTGTGCCTGGACCCTGTAGGCCTCAATGTTGGTTCCAAAATGTTCTTTTCCCAGAGGCATAAATAAATGGAAAATCCAACCAAAGCAGAGGATGTTTGCAGACCTTCTCCAGGTGAGGTGCAGTGGATGTGGAGCTGTGGGCAGGTGAGGAGGGGCAGTTCTGCACCGTTCCCTTCCCAGGCCTGCAGCTGGTTTTGGTTTTCCCGTCGCTGGCAGCGAGCTGTGCACTGGCTTTATAGAGGTGTGAACATGCCTGGGCGATGCAAACAGGTTGTAAAGCCTCTTGGCACCTGGCTGGGGGATCCATAATGGTTTGCAGGAGCTCACTGCGCTCCTGAGCTCCAGTGTGGGGAGGCAGAAAATGAGAGACAGTGCCATGGGAACAGCTTTTGGGATTGGCTTTTCCCTGAGGATTTTTAGTTGGTTTGTAAATGGGGTGAAGGTGGTAGGATGGATGTGGGGAGAGCTGGAAGGACCCACGAGGGTCATCCATTCCATCTCCTGGCCCTGCACATACAGCCCAGCAGTCCCACCCTGTGCACCCCTGGGAGCATTGTCCAAATGCTCCTGGAGCCTGGGACCATTCCCTGTTCCTGTGCTGAGCCCCCTCTGGGTGGTGGTTCCACCTGGAAAGAGCTGCAGGGAATGAGCTGATACTCCTCAGTGGGAATGTCAGAGGGTGGCCCAAAGAAATTGAGAGCTTGGACTGGA